ACTAGCTTTTTCAAAGACTGCCCCACACCATGAGGATGAAATGACCACTCACCCACCTTTCCACTTCGGACCCTTCTTATACTTCACATGAGGCCCAAGCCTGGATTAACCCACTTATCTTCAATATAACACTCAAAATAACTGTGAAGCCTGTATAAGGAAATTATAACAATGATCATTTTGAACTGTAGTTGCATATTTACTTGTCAGCACTGCACGGGGACCAAGTTTTCTGAGGACAGTGATTAGCATCTTCTCTATTTCTGGGTCTCCAGGATATAACACAATGCTCAGCATGTAGTCATTACTGAAAACATATTCATTAAATGTATAAATGAATGAAAGAATGCATTTTAAGTCAGCCAGTCTCTAGAGTGGCCCCTGGCATAGATAAGGATGATGGTAAGTAACTTTAGTGCCCCCAATTTAAGCAGAGAGTGGAATATTTTCGAACAAAAGGTTTTCATTCTTCTTGGATATTTGGATATATGTCTGACTACCATTGGCAGTGAAGGATAGATTTCAGGGGTCATGAAAGCTTTCTCTAATATGTTTCAGGAACATCCAGAAATCTTAGCCTTGTGGGTGCCTGGAGCATGTACTGAGGCTACCTATTGGGTAATTGATCCCCATGACATCCAGACTTTCCTTGCCTGAGGCAACAGCTTGAGAAGGCCAGAGCAAGACAGGGAAAGGAAATTGACGTTCTCAGGAGTGATGTGGATTTTGAGAAGAGGAGAAGATTCTTTAAGGAGGTCACCTTATGAAGAAGGAATATAAAAAAAATATAAATGGGAGAGAAGGAAATAAGATGAATTAGTGTTTTGGTGAAAAGATTTATTTAATGTGTAGAAAATAGAACCATAGAGGGCTGGAGCTGTCTGAAAGCCTTGAGAAGATTTTATTCTGAACTGTTGATTCTACAAAGCAGGGGACCACGGCCAGGGCGTTGAAGCGGCTTGTCCAGAGTGACACAGGGAATTAGTGGTGGAGCCAGGATGGTAAAGTAGGGTGCCTGGTTTCTAGCCCCTTCTCTTTCCACTGTCTGAGCTGGCTGCCTAGCCCTGGTGCAGAAGGAGAAACCACTCCTGGGGTTACTCGGAAGAGCATTTGTCATCTGGCTGCCACACTCCTGGGAGAGCCAGACCACTTGAAGGTGGAAAAAGCGGATGGAAATGCAAAATACTAAGATGGAACTGCAGAGTTTATATGGAAAACATGAACCATCTATGGTTCGAAATATTAAAAATAGGTTAAATTCAATTGAAATTCTATTGGACCCTGACTTTAAGGCTATAAACAAGACGTCTGGAAAAATTTATACAGCTATCTCCCTTTTTGCTGCATTAAGCAAATTGAAAGGACTGTCCCTATCCTCTAGCAACTTATTTAGAGGTTGAAAACATTAACCTTAATAAAGAAAAGGGTGTAAAGCACAGAACAAAGATGACTCTTATTGTCTCTCGTCTTTCCCCCGTGACATAGAACAAACGGCCCTGGGCTAGAAATGAAAGAATTGTATTCTAGTCCTGTTTAAGCCGTGACTTTGTCCAGTTCACCAACGTCACTCTGGAGTTCAGCTTCTTTATCTGTAAAGTGAAGGGATTAGGCTAAATGTCACTAACAGTCTCGTTCAAATTTAACATTCTAAGATATACTTTCTTAGTCTGCCTGAGCTGCTGTAACAAAATATAGATCCTTGACTTACTATGGCCTGTCCTGGGATTTTTTGACTTAACAATAGTACCGAGGTAATATATATTCAGTAGAAACTGTACTTTGAGTTCTGTTTCTTACTTTCAGTACAGTATTCAATGAATTACATGAGACAGTCAACACTTCATTATAAAATAGGCTTTGCGTAAGATGAGTTTGCCCAGTTGCGCTAGCCTAAGCTATGATGTTTGGTAGGCTAGGTGTATTAAATACGTTTCAACTTGCGATATTTTCAGCTTATGATGGTTTTATTGTGATGTGACCTGTCTAGATAAGCCTATTGTAAGCTGAGAAACATCTGTGTTATAGACTGTGTGGCCTAAACAACAGAAATTTATTTCCCACAGTTCTGGAGGCTTGGAAGTCCAAGATTAAGGTGCCAGTTTTGGTTTCTGGCAAAGGTCCTCTTCCTGGTTTGTAAATGAGTTCCTCTTTTTGTTTTTTTCTAACTTTAATTTTAGGTTCAGGTTTACATGTGCAGGTTTGTTAAATAGGTAAATTGCATGTCTCAGGGGTTTTGGGGTACAGATTATTTCATGATTCAGGTAATCAGCATAGTACCAGATAGGTAGTTTTTCAATGCTCACCCTCTTCCCACCCTCCACTCGCAAGTAGGCCCTCCTGCCTGTTATTCCCTTCTTTGTGGACACAATGTTTAGTTCCCATTTATAAGTGAGAACATAGAGTATTTGGCTTTCTGTTCCTGTGTTAGTTTGCTTAGGATAATAGCCTTCAGCTCCATCCATGTTGCTGCAAAGGACATGATTCTGGATGTATAGTATTCCATGGTGTAGATGTACATTTTCTTTATCATGTCTGTATCCTTACATAGTGGAGAGAGATCCACTATGTATCTCTCTGTTGTATCTTCATAAGGGCTCTGATCCCATCAGGAAAGCTCTCCCTTCATGACCTAATTACCTCCTAAAGTTCCCACCTCCAAATACCATCACATCGATGATTGGGGCTTCAACATAGGAATTTGTGGGAGGGGAGGCACAGATATTTAGTCCATAGCACTTTTTGCGTGTTTGGTTTTTGTTGAAATTGAGCACACGTGTTCATTTCTTCACTCCCAATTTGTGTCTATGACAGTGTAAGGAGTTGTGTGTACTATAGTGAAAAAGAAAGACCTCTGTGACTCCATGGAGCTTACATTCTAGTCAGAGAGACAAGCAGTAAACAGGAAACAGTAAGTAGATAACTTCTAGATGTAACTGTATTTATATGTCTATTTAAGCCTTATGTATCATAAGTAATTAATATAACTAGTAATAGAAGCTAAGCTGGGTTAGAGAGTAAATGTCAGGGGTGGAAATCTATGAATCAGGTTTACAGAAGGCATCAGGCCTCAATACAAACATCTAAGTGGCCATAGGAAGAATATTTCTAGTAGAGAAAAAGGCATGTGCAAAGTCCCTGAGGCCAGAAAGAGCTTACTGTGGTTGAGGACCTGATAGAAAGTGGTTGTGACTGGGAGCCAGTGATCAAAGGAAAAGGAGGCATGGAATGAAAACAAAAGGCAAGTCGTGCAGCTTCTTGAAGGCCATGCTAGTGCAACGGGAAGCCACAGGAGGCTGTAAAATGATTTAATTCATGCATAAAAAATTACTTTCAATTCTGTGTAGACAGAATGGATTGGAGGAGCTAAGATGTAGAAGGGACACTGAAAAGGGGTAGTTGTAGCAATGTAGTTAAGAGAGAAGGTGACTTGGATGAGAACTGCACAGCAAAAATGAAGAGGATGAAATAGATTTATTAACATGTAGTGGGTGGGGGAAAAGAGAAATCAAGGTCAAGGATGATTTGACTCTCAGGGTAGATGGTGGTGCCATTAACTTGGAGGCAGAAGTCTGGAGGAAAAAGAAGATTCAGGTAGAGACAGAAATCAGCAGTTCTGTTTATCCTTGTCAACTTTGAGCAGCCTCTTACACACGTACATGAACATACCAAGTAGGCAATTGGTTACTTGAGTCTGAAGATCATAACAATGGCCTGGGCTGAAGCAATACACGTTTTCAGAATTGCCAGAACATAGGTTAGAATCAAAGACATGAGAGTACTTAGAGAAAGAGTGAAAGGAAGAATGCCAAGGAATTGTGGCATAAGCAAAGAAGTCCACTGCAAAGGCTGAGGGGTGGTGCATGCCGTAGGAGGACTAAAAGTCACATAAGCAATAAGAGGTGTGGCAAGAAAGAAGGAGTCAGTGTTGCAGAACTTTCTCCTTAGTTCAGTTAAAACCAAGTTCTTGTCACAGGACCGGGAGAGATTAGGCTCACGGACACATAGAAGGGTGAGGAGTAGAATTTAGTGGGCAAAAAAGGAAAAAGGAAAAACAGCTCTCAGCAAAGCGAGGAGTCTTACCAACAGTCTCCTGCCTCACAGATTGGACCCCAGGCCACCATACAGAAACTAGAGGCCAGGCTCCTCCCCACTACGAAACGCACGGACTTGCTGTGGCTCCACCCCCTTCTCCCAGTGCGCAGGTGGGCATGGTCAGAATCAGTCGGGAAAGAGCCGGCTTCATCTGGACCCACAGTCTGGTTTTTCAGCCTTCAGGCTGTTTTAGGCTTGAAGGTGGTGTTTCGCTGGGGACCCTTGGCTGTCTCCTGTGTATATCATCAGCTGGATTAAAAACTGTTGGCAAGTTGAATAAAATGTAGACCCAAAAGCGTCACTCAGTTTGGAAACAGAGATAATTGATGACCTTTATGAGAGTTTTTTTTTTCTTTCATAATAGTGGTGTCATGAAAACTACATTAACATGATTTTAAAAATAATTGAAAAATGAGGATGTGGGATTAACTGGTACAATAGTTTTAAGAAGTTTTGTCGTAAAGATCAACAGAGAAGTAATATAGTAGCTAGACATGCTTGTAGAATCAAAGGAAGATAATTTTTTAAGAAGTTATAAGATACTGGAGCATATAATATAACTGGTTGTCAATCTTCTGCTAAGTAACGAGAGATAAATAATGTAGAACAGGGATTAACAAATTATGGCTTGTGGGCCAAATTCGGTCTGCTGACTACTTTTGTAGACTGTTAATGGCCTGTGGGCTAAGAATAGTTTTTACATTTGCAAGTGGTTAACAACTTTTTAAAATAATTTATTTATTATATATATTATTTTAATATATATCTGACTTTTTTTGTTATACTACGTTCAAATTTTGGTGTCCATAAATGAGCTTTATTGGGACACAGTCAGACCTCTTTGTTTATGTATTATTTATAAATGCTTTCCTGCTACAATGACACAGTTCTGAGGTAGCGGCGGAGACTGCATGGCCAGCAAAGTCTGAAATATTTACTATCTGGTCCTTTACAGGAAATATTTGTTGACCTCTGATGTGGAAGAGAAAAAATTATATTGTGAGACCACCTTGAGAAGGGAATGAGGCAGAGTCCCAAAGGACAGGGGTAGGCAAGAAAGACATCAAACGTGAGTATACAAGATATACAAGGGGTCTTGAATTTGGCAACTGTGAGACAACATCATTCTTCTTTGATGCCTCTGTTTTCTCAGTGAAAGGGAGGTGATCTGAAATAGGCATGGACTAACCCTGGAAGTCTGACCTAAGCCTTCTCGTCCTTAGGAAAGAATCGTCACAACAACACAGAGATTAAGGTATAAAATTCATGACTTTCAAGTTTTCATAGTGAAGTGGAATCAAATATCTCTAAACTTGAAACAATTATCTGATCTGGAGAAGAAAAGAGAAACGCTGAGAGGAAGCCCATGAGTTTGATGTTGTTGTTGCTCTGAAGGGTTCTGCCTCTGCCCTTCTCCTGGGATTATTTAGAAAGAGGGAGATGCCAGACCTCCCGAGTGATTTGGGACATCTTCAAATAAAAGAGAAATTACCATGATTTGTCTCTTTGAACCTGAGGAATCAACAGACTTGTAGATATTTTTCCAAGTGATTGTGACACAGAAGGAGTAGAGGAGACGTGGATGCACAGTGGGCAGGGCAGAGAAACCAGGACAGTCCTGCTGAGTTCTCTGTAGATACAGAATACTGTGGAATCTCTGTAGATACAGAGTACTGTGGTGGAAAATCCAGTTGTGCCAAAGGATGTCGTAGTCAGGAAAGCAGCCGGGATGAAAACATGTGCTATGTGTACAGGGACTAGGCAGCAGTGACAACAAGGAGGACAAAGGGCAGTCAAGGAAGTCTAAGGATAACCCCTAATCAAACAGGGCTGTGTAAATCTTAGTGGACGTCAGCAGGGTAGCTGATGACTTAAAATAAAGTGTCTTCTCCTGGGTGCTAAGTTACTTCAAGGGTCTCCTGATTCTTAGGAGTCCCACAAAGTTAGGGAGGTGCTGAACCATAAATTGATTGAGTTTACTTGGAATTGACTGAGAAAAACTTTAAGTGAATGAATTTCCCTTGAAATTGCAAAATTCAATTTCTGCTCTAGGTGCCATAGGAGTTTTGGACAGAAACTAGGAAAAATACTTACATTTTTTGCATACTTGAGTTTGTGGTTTGAAAATTCAAACTCTTACTAAGAGTTTAAAGAGAGAAAGTGGAGAGTTTGAAATAGTCAGTTATTCTCTCGGAAAGGGGAAAAATGTTTTCACCATGTAGATAATTTCTTCTTCCTGATACACCAAGCTTACTTCCATAATCATAATTTTCATGAATAAGGGTTGAACATGATGCCAACATTTATATGCATATTGCATTTGTGTCTCATATTAATCTATCAGGTATAAGGAATTATGCTGATTTTGTAGATGAAAAAAACAAAGGTCTGGAATATGTTAAGTAATTTGCCAAATGTCACAAGGCAGAATTCACCATATTCCAAACTGTTCCTTTCTAACCTCTCTTTCCAGCTTTCATCTCACCCAACCAATAACTAATGGTAATTACTTCCATTTAGCAAGACTTCCTTTTGACACAGATCGAGCCAATTGTTCCAAATATTTAATTTCCCTTAGTCCTTAAACAAAGGTCATGCTTTTTGGTATGATTTATTTCAAATCACTACTTGGATGATTTGAAATAAATTACCTAACTGAGCCAACTAGTATAAGCACTAGAAGCAAGATTTAAACCTAAGTCTGTCTGTCTCAAAAGCTCATATTCTTAATTATACTAACCCTCTTCTGCCACTCAGAGACCTGAATCTACCACTTCTAGGAAACCTTTCCTAACAAACTGAAGGAGTGATGGTTACGACCTTTTATCTTTCTGTTAACTTCAACAACATATGTATTGGTCATTCACAGAATCCATGCCCCGTTCTTCTTGGGTATGGTGGTGTGTAGTAGGAGTGGAAGTGATAGGTGCCATTTCTAGGCCTGGTGCATTGATTCCCTGATGCCTTGCACCATGCCCTTTCTCCTGGATCTGGCTGCATACAAGTGCAGATAGACCTTAGAGAATAGTAGAACAACAGGATGGAAGCATCTGGAGTCCCTGAATAACAACTTGGAGGAGAAGCATCTCCAGAGAACTGACACCTGCTCAGGACTGTGGGGGAAAAGCTTCTACTGTACTGAACCATGATTCTATTTTGGTATATTTCATATTTGCTACAGCATCTTAGTTTATTCTTAAGAATACAATGGAAAAGGACTTTGTAGGAAAAAGGTAACCAATAGAAAGTAGGGGAGATATATTAAAATCATATGAAAAGCATTATTGAGAGATTACTATTAGCACACTGCAATGACATGCATTTTACAGAGAACACTCTGGCTGTAACGTGTTTTGGCTGGGAGCAAGCCCAGAACAAAATTGGGAGTAGGAAGAGCAATTAAGAAGCTATAGTAGCAACCCAAGATGAAAATGATGGGGACTGATCTAGAATGGTAGAAGATGAGTGAACAGATTTTAGTGATTTTAAGTTTGGAAAGTCAATAGAACTTTAAGTGGTTGACTGTATGTGACTGAGAAAGGGGAAAGGGGGAGGACTCAAGGATAAGACCTATGCTTCTGGCTGGATGATGGCGATGTCATTTACAGATACACGTACTATAGGAGAAATGGTAGGTGGGTGAGTGGAGTGGTGATGATAAGTTTAGTTTTAATTTTTTTAATTTTAATTTTAATTAATTTATTTATTTTTGAGACAGAGTCTTGCTCTGTCGCCAGGCTGGAGTGCAGTGGTACAGTCTCAACTCACTGCAAGCTCTGCCTCCCAGGTTCAAGCGATTCTCCTGCCTCAGCCTCCCGAGTAGCTGGGACTGCAGGCATGTGCCACCATGCCTGGCTAATTTTTGTATTTTTTTTAGTAGAGATGGGGTTTCACCATATTGGCCAGGATGGTCTCGATCTCTTGACCTCGTGATCCGCCTGCCTTGGTCTCCCAAAATGCTGGGATTACAGGTGTGAGTCACCGCACCTGGTCAGTGAATTTGTTTTTTAACATGTTGCCAAGAGGAATTGGAGGGTTGACTAAACAGATTTGGAGCTTAGGAGAGAGAAACAAGCTGGAAGTCTAGCATTAGAATCAATGAATGTCTATTTGGTAATACCAAGAAAGTAGAGGAGTTTTTTTTTGTATTTCATGTAATAAATGAGGTGTTGTAATTGCTCCTCACAACCCCCACTCTTGCTGTGGACTCACCGGGACGTAGAATGAAAACATCTCCACTATTTCCACTTCTTCCAAGAAAATCCAGCAGGTCTGAATTCTCCTTATCTAGAAGGGCCAGTGAACTGTGTGTGTGTGTATGCGTGTGTGTGTGTGTGCGCATGCATATGTGTGTGTGTCTGTACACACATGCACGCAAGCCTAGGCTTTTGTGTGTACAAGGCTGTCAGTATGATGAGGCTCCATTGTCAGAGACAAAATGAAGAGGCAGGCTGTGGTTTCACTGGATTGAAACAGAGCCCGGTCTAAACCAGATAGATAATGTTACCAGACTGCAAATGTGAACAAAGTGGAATGAATTGGATAATTCCTGCTCATAATAAAACTACGAAGGTAGAAAGATCTTTGGTGTAGGGGACTTATGCTGGTACCAGGAGAGACTTGGCACCAAGCTCCAGGACTTTAGGAGCCTAGGTAAAGATCTGTGTATCTGAAGGTGACGTGGAGAACATGAGGCTGCTAGCAAAAGCTGTGCATATTTGAGTGAATAACAGTATTAGGAAACAGACAATCACAATGGCTACCACTTTGTTACTGAAGATGAGAGGCGTCTGTCACAGTCTTCCCTGACTATGTAAGTCTGGGTTCTGGCACCCACAAAGAGTACGGTAGAGAACATCCAGAATTGACCCTAAAGCTTTTGCTTCTCTTAGTAAGTGGATACTTAAACCAGGTTTAATTTACTTTAGTGGGAGTAGCGGATACAGGGACATTTCTTTCACCTATATTATTAATAGAACATCTGTGACTACGGATCAGTAATCTAGGGATGAAGAGGTTTAATACCCCTTTTTCTAAAATCACATAAGCCATTCTTCTGCCTTCTAAATCCAGGGTTTTTATTTTTATTTTTATTTTCACTAAGATGGGTTGAAAGAAAATTCAGAGCTTCTAATACCTGGTACCCTCATCTTTGCTCTACACTGCTTTCTTACAAAGGCAAGTTACCTTTGAATCTAACAGGCGTGGTCACTTGAGGGTGAGGAGCGTTATGTGCACAGATGACACCTCCGTGACCAGAAGACATGCTCATAAGGATTCGTATTGAATGAACTAGGATTCTAATCTGCAGTGTTGTATTTCTGATGCACAATACTGATGTTTGCCAAAATTAGCTTCCCCTCATTCTTGTTACGTCTAATGGCGAGGTTATTTCAGCTCAACATATAGTATCTGTACGGACCTGAATGATTCATGAGTCTGCTCCATCAGAGCTGAGCATGGTTCCCTGGGTTTTAGTGATGCTCTCATCTGCCAGAGACTGACTGGAATATGCAGTCACTCATGGTGAAAGGGAAACACGTTTCTCATTCAGCAAGTATGTGGTTCCATCCACAGAGTTTACAGCACGGTTGTATTTGAAGTTCAGTCCTAGAACTTTGTGGCAGTAAAAATGATGGTGATTTATAGGAAAATGTCACTCGGCCATCTCCACTATAAAAGCCTTTTATAACTCTCATCGAATATAAATCAGGATGTATGCAGCCAACAAAATGATGGTCTTGGCATAACGTTTTCAAGACAAAAAGAAATGGCCTAGAATTGTCTTGGCTTTTTACTGAGGACAAATATTACAGGAATTTATTGCTGGTCCAAGATCAATATTCTTGTCTTTAAAAATAGATATGAGTGAATTTATGTCTTGGTGAAATTCCAATTACATAAATTAATTAAAATAGTCACCACAGAGTTCACCCACAAATACCAAGAATGCCATACCTTTTTTTTTTGTTTTTTTAGGTTTTTGCTTTTGTTAAACTATATTCTAAGATACATAACTCAAGCTTAAAGCTATATTTCATTCTAATGGGAGAGGAAAAGGATGGGCCTCACAAAGGATTGATTCAAACTTGCTAAATTTCATGTTGGAAATGCCAAAGAAGCTTCATATTGTACTTCTCTCAAATGTCAGCAAGATGTGAAAAATGGTGATCAAACAAAACCTGCGTTTGAAGTGATAGCCCCCATTTTCTCATGTATTTTTGCATCACAGAATACTCAAGGTAGAGATCAGCA